GCGCTGCCTGCCCCGCCGCGGTGGCCCCTCGGGTGGCACGAGTAGCTGCACAGGGACAGTTATAGCTGCTCCCAGGCAAGCCCAGGTCCCAAAATCAAGCCCAGCCCTAGCTCAGGAGGGCAGCAGTAGCTCAGCAGAGTGGGTACGGGGTGGAAATGGCCTCCAGCCTAGTGCAGGCCCTGGAGCAGCGAGGCTTGGGGTCCCGTCTCCTGGTGGAGGCTCCCAGGAGGGTGCTCATGGTGGTCCATCATAGCCTTCACTCATCCCTCACCCCACCCCAGGGAGCATCTCCTCTGAGCCACCACTGCCCCGCTCCTCCCGCAGACCTTCTCGGGGGACAGACCAGGGGCTTGCGTGGGGTCCCTGCAGCAGCCCACCGGGGTTATCAGCCCTGTGGCTCTGGTAGCTGCAGTTGGGTTTTTCTAGGTTGGTCCAGGGCCTGTCTAACCCAACGTGCGCATGTTTGGCAGAACCCAGCTCTGGACAGGTCCATGGCACAAGCCTTGATGGCTGTTGCCACCGCTGGCTGTGGGGTAGCCATGGCTTCCTCCATCTTCACCATCGCCTTCTGCATCTTCTTAAGGTAGGATGTGCCAGCAGCTCCCTGGGGACTCGTCAGGCTGGGAGAGATGTGGGGCCATTCCCGTGTCTCTGCATGAACCTGCTGCAATATGGCATGGGGCCTCGCTCAGCTGTGACCCCCACCTTTTCTGCTCCCTCTGGGGATGCTCAGGTGCAGGTTCAGGTCCGAGGAGACCCTCTGCACCAACCTGGGGCTGCATGTGAACCTCATGGGCAGCCTGCTCCTCCTCAACCTGGCCTTCCTGCTCAACAGCGGGCTCTCCAGTGGGACCCAGCCGGGGACTTGCAAGGTCCTGGGGGGGCTCACCCACTACTGCCTGCTCTGCTGCTTCACCTGGATGGCGCTGGAGGGCTGTCACCTCTACCTCCTCTTCGTCAAGGTCCTCGGCACCTACATCCACCACTACCTGGTGAAGCTGTGCCTGGTCGGCTGGGGTGAGCGCCACCAGCCTGGGCGAGAGCCGGGGGGGAGAGGGGGCCAGTGGAACAGTTACAACCAGGGGTGATGCACTGGTGGGCACAGAGCGAGCAAGCCCCCATCCTGCCCGCAGCTCTTCCAAATGCCATGGTCAGGGCCGGGAAGTGTCTTATATGGGCTCGGTGCACCAAATTCAGGGCAGCACCCACAGGCACCCTCCATCCTGCTGGGGACCAGCCTCCTGCTCATCAAGCAGGTGATGTCCTTGGGGGTCTTTGTTCCCCCGTTGCCAGCCTTCCATGGCACCTTGGGGGGCACCAGAGCAGATGATCCCGCAGAGAGGTTAGGGGACACCTCGAGCCCCGCCACCCAGCTCTGGCCTTCCCTCTCCACATCATGTCCCAGCAGCAACCGTTGTGCCCCCGGCACTTGTGCAACCTCAGCGGGCTCCTAAGCCCCATCTTCTCTGAGGTCAGCACATCCAGGGACGTGCAGAGACCCCAAGCTGACCACCTCGCCCGCCGCTTTGCCTTTCTGGCCTCCTCCACATGTCTCCCTTGTTCTTCCAGGCTTTCCCACCCTCGTGGTGGGGGTGGCAGGAGTCATCGGCAGCTATGGAGAATACAGCGTCCAGACCATGGACCACCAGGTCATAGCCCACCTGTGCGTGTGCCACCGCCCACAGGGCTTAGGTGGCCCTTTGGCACGGAGAGCGGTAACCCGGCCCTGCCGGGAGCGTGGCAGTCGGGGGTTGCGCCCATCCTGCTCGGCTTTACGCCATGCTTCCGCTTCCCTAATTGTGGTTACAACACAGCAGCTACAGCCATGGTAACCACCACCACCACCACCTCTTGTGCCGAGCCTCCTCGGTCATGCCTGCAGGCCACCAGGTCATGGAGGGACATCCAAGGTCCACCTGGAGCTTCCCCAGGCTCCCTTCCAGCTGAGCAACACGAGGGCAGCGGATCCGCACCACTGTCCCCCCTGCTTCACCCTGGCCTTGGAAAACCCCACCGGCACAAGGGTGTCCCTGCATCCCCAAACACGTCCCCCTGGGGAGGCTCCCATGGGTGCTGCCAGGGCTAGTAGAGCCACTGGAGGCACCGCGGTTGTCTCTTTTCAGGTGCTGGATCACTTCCAAATATCTCCTGGTCCACTACATCACCAACTGTGGTTACTTCGGCCTCATCATCCTCTTCAACATGGCTGTCTTTGGGGTGGTGGCCCAGAAGAGCTGCTGCCTGCAGGGCACGGGGGCAGTGCAGGGAGACCGCAAGGCTTGGAAGGTGGCCCTGGTGGTAGTGGGGCTCTTCTGCCTGCTGGGAGCCACCTGGGTCCTGGCGTTCCTCACCCATGACACCTCCTCTGTGCCCATGCTCTACCTCTTCACCATCCTCAACTCTCTCCAAGGTCAGGGCCGGCTCCGAGCTGGGCTCCCTGGGCTCGGGTGGGGAAGATGGAGGAGGCAGGAGCCAGCCTGGCAGTGGGTTGACCAGGGGTCCCAAGGCACCAGCATCTTCCCAGCACTGTCATGCCCTTCCCTTTGGCAGCAGGTCCCAGCCACCGGCGTGGAGCTGGTCATGGCTCCCAACCACGTACACTCCAGCGGGGGTGGCTTTCCTCCCGGGAAGCCATTCCTTAGCAGAGGAACAGGGACATTATCCAGTCCCATTATCCAAATAGCTCACCTTTCAGGTGAGACCTTTCAGGTCATGGGGAGACCCTCCTGCAGGAGCAGGGGTGAGCTGGGGGAACGCCCTGGAAGCAGCAGGGAAGTGCCGGCAGCATCCTGGCAGGATGTTTCCCATGATCTCCCGCTGCTGCTGCCGAGTGTCTGCCTTCCTTTCCCTGCAGGAATCTTCATATTCGTCTGGCTGGTCATCCTCTACTACCCGAAGACGAAGGAGACCGCTGGCTCCCTCTCCCACATCATCAGACACGACAAAACCATCACGGTTTCCCAGGACTAGCTGCTGGCTAGACCTCCCTCCCTGCCTGCGCGCGCACCCGCTGAGAGCAAGCTTCGATCCCGACGGATGCAGCTTCCCCACGGAGGACGAGGGCTCAGTTTGCCATGCCTCAGTTTACCCTTCAGTGGGCATGATCCGCCTCAGCAGGGCTCTTTGCTTCGGCCCTTTCATTCCTAGTGGCCTGCCTTGGGCAAGGAGCTCCGGAGAGGTCCCGTCTGCCAAAGTCCCCCCAGGCTGCAGCTCCCCCACGGTCTTGAAGTGCCCCGTTCTCATTCCCCAGGGGCTCTTGCGGGGGCGAGGAGGGAGCCCACGAACCAGCCAGGATGGAGCCATCCCCCTCCTCACTAGAGATGGCCTTTGGTGCTGGACCAGCCTGACGGTGGGGTTTCCTGCTGTTGGAGGTGGGAGGATTGACTCGCTCCAGCCCAGACTCAGGAGGTTAAGGTCTGGGAATTAGCAAAAAAAGATAAATCCCACAAGCTTCTTTGCAATATGTCCTCTCCAAACGGACCGGGGCCGAGCTCTTCGGGCAGGGATCTGCTGTATGTCTCTCCTGCAAAACACCCTCTGGGGCCAGCAACGATTTCCACGAGGACATCGTGCTTCAGCCGAATCTACACATACAGCCCCCTCGCAGGGAAAACACACCTCTCCTGATCTGTGTCTTAGCATTAGCTCCCTGCTGGCTGTCTGAGCACTATGGATTTAGTCTTTGATGCTTACAATATTGTTTGTTACTTGCTTTATATCAAGGATGTATTGATGGGCAAAAATCTTGCTGGCAATTTGTCACCGTTCAGAAGGAAGAAATCGGTACGAATAGGTGTGTATACACACGCGTGCGCTTGCGTGCACAGAGCAGCCCTTTCTCTGCTACTGCTGCATCTGCGTCACACAGAACCACGCGACGTCCAGCTTCGGTGGGCAAGTATCTAGCGTGGGTACCTCCTTCTCCCCACGCGCCTGGGTGACTCTCTGGGGAGGAGGGAAGCAGGAGGAAGGAACCTCCCATCCCTGGGTACGTGTTTCGAGTCTAGAGAGCGTGGGCCAGGGGGGGATGAGAAGGTCCTAGGGATGCTACAGGGAACAGAAACACTCTGATCTGACTCATCTTTCAAGCACCGTTTGCATCCAACCATCGCCTCCTTCCCCAAAAACCCCTGTAAAGACACAGGCAAGAGCCTCTCTGCTACTGTCACATTTATTTGGAAACAGCCATTTTCTACACCGTTTGCCGCCTCGCGCTGACGGCCGCAGCAGCCGCAGTGAGCACACCAAGCGCACACAGCAGGATGAGGGCCCTGGGGAGCCACGGGTTGGGTCCTGCCGAAGACGAGAAAGGTTGGTTACACATCTGGGTCCCCCGAGTCTGCACTGAGCCCTGGCACGGCATCTCCTGGCTGGGGGCAGATTTGGGGGAGGTCGTCTCTTGTGAAGGGTAAGAGCCGCCGGAGCTGGGGGTACTTCAGGGCCCTGAGGGCATTAACAGGGCTCGGTCGCCCCAACAGGCCTCACCCGGGGGCCTACACCTACACCCGCTGCCCGGGGGATCCC